TAGGCAATGCCCTCCTGGAAATCAAAAACTGCCCGGTTCATCAATTTGCATGTAATCGGGAGTTTAATGTAGGATTAGCTGCCACGTTCCATACAGTAACTGAAAATACTGCAGTGGGCACAAAACGCCCAAAACGTTCATAGATAACACAGTGTAGAGCTGGATGAACACAGCAGGCCAGGCAGCATCAAAGGAGCGGGAAAGCTGACGTTTCGGGTTGGGACCCTTCTCCAGAAGGGCCCTTTCCCGCTCATCTGATGCTGCCTGGCCCGCTGTGTTCCTCCAACTCCACGCTGTCGTCTCAGACTCCAGCATTGGCAGTTCTTAAGAACTATCTCCGAAACGTTCAGAGGTCTTAGCGGCTCTACATAGTTGCAGTTTCTCCGCGCCACCCTCACCAAAACGCTCACACCAAATCCGACACGTGCCATCGCTCTCCAAGGCCAACGCTGTTCGTACAGTGGGTGGGTCAAACCACGCCGCGAATGGCGGCCGGGTGGGAGATAAGGAAATCTGCAGGATTCCCAGCCCAACCCCCACTTCCAACAAAAGCGGCCACAAGAGGAAAAAATGTTCGGACTCAAAAGAAATGGGCTCCTACTGTGGACAAAGGGCGGACGGGAAAATAGGCCGCAGGCTCCACCGCGAAAAGAGAGAGAGAGGGTAGATAGAAGTCATCGACACAAAGCAGATGCTTCCCTTCACCTCAGGTTCGGTGCCGGAGCCGGCACCGCGTCGCAAAATGGCGGCACCTCAACAAGGCTTGCTTCGTAACATCCCCTCTCGCTCCCCCGCCCAATATTCATTTTCCCCTGAGTCGGTACCCGGCCTCCGGCTCCTCTTACTCGGTTGCCATCGTTTTCGGTTCGCTGGCGTTTTGCTGCACGCCCGTCGTACACCTGCTGCCTGGTCGCCATCTTAACAACCACTGCCGCCTTCAGATTCCGTCAGAAAGAGACAACATGGCAGCCGCTATAAATAGTCGCGCGGCCGGGCTGTTCCCGCCTCTTTTTACCGGTGTCCAATTGATGAAAGGAGACCAAATGCCCGCCCCCCCCAACCTCGGTCCCAATTGGTACCCAGAAACAAAGCGGGCCACAGGACCTCGCACTGATTGGTTGTTACTGATTGAATCCCGCCCATACTAATATCCAAATGGAGATGAAGGAAGTCAATCACGTATCGCCGCACACTGATTGGTGGGGACACGTCACCCAAGTTGACAAAGGGACCTCTGTACAGAATATCCCAAACCCATGCTCCGTGTGGACCTTATGTGGAAAAGTAGGAAGCTTTGCTTCCCGCTCATGGTCAATGCCCTTTCACTCCATAAACTGATTCAACTATCTGTAGTTAAACAAAATGAGGACAGTGTAGGCTCGACGGGCTAAAGGGCCTGCTTCTACACTGTAAAGATTCTATGAAAATCCCAGATTTTTAGCTTAAAACTTGACAATTAACCAAATAACAGTCATATGACCAAAACCTCAGTAAGGAAGGGGGAAACAGCAATGTCTAGAGTCAGTGAAAATTTTGGACTTAAAGCAGCTGGAGACAGTGAATTTGTTTATTCCTATGGCTCTGGAAGAAGTTGTGATCCTATGTCAAGGTTAACAAGCTATTCAACAACTTCAGCTGACACATTTGAGGCTTGTGCTGATGCCAGTGCAGGATCACTCAGTGCAGAAATTCAATAAATGGGCAATAGTCTCACATGCATGACCACTGTCACAATTTGTGTCTCGCATTCCACTTGTGGACCAAATGTCCATATCTTCCGGGGTCTGTCCCGAAGAAAGCTTATCCAGACTTTCCAAGCACATTTAAAATTTGCAACTTCACCACCTGGGTCAGTTATCAACTTGCCACAGGCGATGTTCACAATTAACCAAGGTGTACCACCAAGAAACACGGCTGTCCTACAAACTGATGATGTAGATTGTGCTTATGTAGGAACTAAAGTTTTTCAAATGAGTGAGCCAGTGGTGTTCAATGTTATTGGTTTTCCAGAGGATAAACCACCAGAGCAATGTTGATTTCAACATCACAAAAATAAGCCATATTAATTCAATCCAGCCCCTTAAAAGTACAAATAACCAGAACCTAACCCTATTTTTACATTCTGCATTTTAAAAAAAAACATTTTTCCCCTCACCATCTGCAACAACTTCACAACTCCTCACCATGCACATAAACCCTTCCGCAGATTGTGTTTCAACCATTCACTAGCACCTTCCAGGCAACACAAGATTAAACACTTGTCTGTTTAGCTCAATCCAAACCACCATCCAAATTCTCACTACAAGCGTAATTTAGAAATATTTTCTCCAATTCAGTACAGGATTCATTGTTCATGATGTGGCTACTTCCCAATCAGGTCAAACAGATTTGTTTCAGGGCCAAAGAGATTACCAGAGGGTTGCAGTGGGAGAGAGATTCACTGAGGTCATTCCGGAGAGGAGGATAACTTCTTCAAGGTGGGCATCCCTAGAAGAGGCTCACAGTGGGGTTATAACTCATTCAGAGATATCCCCCATTTCTGAAAAGCGGTCCCGATGCGAAACGTCAGCTTTCCTGCTCCTCTGATGCTGCCTGGCCTGCTGTGTTTCTCCAGCTCCACGCTGTGTTATTTCCGACTCCAGCATCGGCAGTTCTTACCATCTCTCAAACAGATTTGTTGACAACTTTACCAAAGAATCCTGTTCTCTCTGCAAATGTGACTTTGATCCCCTGAACTTGCCATTTTCAAAAAAAAAATCCTGTTCACTTTGAATCACACCAAAGTTAACGAATCAATGTCAGTAAAGCTCAACACAAAATTCAGGGGTATCTCATCTGTCCACTTGATACTTTGCTGCCCCTGGCGTTTCTGATGTGGGATGGGTCTTTTTGGTCCAAAGGAGAAGGTAGTTTACTGAAATGGACAATGATTTGGCAGATTCTTGCACTTGACCACATGAAGGGTTTCACTTGCAGTTTTAATTTTAAATTGATTCAATTTGGAGCTTTTCTCCTTGAATTCTTTAACTTACATTATCTACGTTGTCCATCTCAGTGACTTTTATCATCGGTACACCCTCCTCTATTACAAGTGTTCTCCCCTACTCCTTTGTCTAACTAACTAGGTAAGGAGACTATTGGCTATAAACCCACAGCAGTCTCAAAACCTTGATAATAATCACTGGTATCTCAGGGGGAGTGTTACACTGACATGACATGAGTCATTAAAATTACAATTTCCTAAACTGCTAATTCTTGAGATGGATGTACATGACATTCTAAGGGTACCTCCAAACTCTCAACATCCACCATTTCCTTGGAAAGCAATTAGATTCTTGATTATCTAACTGGATGATTTATCAACAAATTACCTTTCTGCCACTTTCTATATTTTTATAATTTAGACACCAATAATGTTCAAACTATGTGAAATATACCGATAAATGCATGAATTAGGTACAGAAGTAGGCATTTGGCCTCTCAAGCCTGTTCTGCCATTCAAGATTATAGCTGATCTGATTAATCCACAATCCCACCTACCTGTGATAGATTTTTGATGAGCAAGGGACCGAGAGCCTATCCAACTCTGCCTTAAAAATATTCAAGGTCTCTTCAAGGCTTCCACTACCTTTTGAGGAAGAGTTCTAAAGACCCATGATCTTCAAATAAAAAAATTCTCATCTGTTTTAAATGGAAGACGCCTTATTTTGTTCTCTATAATGTCTCATCCACCCCACCCAGTTCTTCCCAACAATGCCCCAGCAGTTAATAATCAATTCCTGGAACATCCAGCACAATTCTGGAATGCTAGCAACTACAAGCTGTTTCAGGACAGCATCGAATGAAATAATGGCCATGCCTGGTGATATAATGAGATACATACCAATGTACATGCTGAGCTGAGTGCTGGAATTGCTTTTGAGTTATAGCACTTTCAGTTGGGACTGGATTGGCTACCCAGAAGTCCAGGCTAATGCTCTGGAGACAAGTTAGATCCACCATGGCAGCTGAGGACATTTAAATTCAATTAATAAATCTGGAATAAAATGCTATTCTCAGTCACGACTTTTTAAACTACTAGATTATCAATAAAACCCATCCGGTTCACAACTGCACCGCAGGAAAAAGGCACCATGGCTGTGCCCACGCCATGGTGCGGCCGCACGAGTATTGCGTACAGTTCTGGTCGCCGCATTATAGGAAGGATGTGGAAGCATTGGAAAGGGTGTAGAGGAGACTTACCAGGATGTTGCCTGGTATGGAGGGAAGGTCTTATGAGGAACGGCTGAGGGACTTGAGGCTGTTTTCGTTAGAGAGAAGAAGGTTAAGAAGTGACTTAATAGAGACATACAAGATGATCAGAGGATTAGATAGGGTGGTCAGCGAGAGCCTTTTTCCTCGGATGGTGATGGCTAGCACAAGGGGACGTAGCTTTAAATTGAGGGGTGATAGATATAGGACAGATGTCAGAGGTAGGTTCTTTACTCAGAGTAGCAAGGGCGTGGAATGCCCTGCCTGCAAAAATAGTAGACTCGCCAACTTTAAGGGCATTTAAATGGTCATTGGATAAACATATGGATGATAATGGAATAGTGCAGGTTAGATGGGCTTCAGATTGGTTTCACAGGTCGGCGCAACATCGAGGGCCGAAGGGCCTGTACTGCGCTGTAATGTTCTATGTTCTATACAGAATGCAGCAGTTCAGCAGTGGTATTACTACCACTTTCTCAAGGCAATAAACAGGATAGGCAACAGATATCTGCCTTGTCGATGACAACCACATCCCATAAAGGCATATAAAAATTCACAAAAATTCCAGTTTACTCTACAACCCTCAGTTCTAATGAAAAGGGTTGGATCCAGAATGTCACAATTAGCTTTCTTCTTGCAGATTTCTACTGTGCTGCATTTCCAAGTGTGTGCGCTGAGTAGGCTGTTGCAAAGTTATATCCATTTACTATCTTGAAGTACCTTGAACAAACAATACAGGGATTCTCAAAGACTAAAAGAAGTGTTTTTATTAATACTTTTTAGCTGTAACACAATAGTGTACAGTTCTCTGCAGTGCAGGAATCTTCCAATAATTAAACAAGTCCAAACAAATGTTCATAACCACTAGCACAGTCACATTTCACATTTCACTAACCATTCATTCTTGGGGAATCTAAAAAAAACTGCCCTTGCACTGGAAAACAAATTCCTTTCCAGGGGTCACTGCACTTTACAGCATTAAAGAAAGCAAAAGCAAAAGAAAGATACATCAAAAGCAACGATCAGCCTCGATGAGTTGGTTCCATGCTCAGGATCATTTTAGGCAGTAGAGAAACACAGCTTCAGCGTGAACAGGTCAGGCCCATCTGTTTAATTTTGAATTTTCAGTAAATTCAAGAGGGAGACAAAAACAAGAGGTACACTCAGCATTAGTACACAAGTTGGCAAATAAATTTAACTAAAACTTCCTGTTCTGTAACAAAACATCTCTAACTGCATTACTGAAGTCCAAACTAGGAACATAGTGTGCTGGTTTTGCAGCTGATAATGTGGGCAAACACAGATTTCCTGGTTTATGGTTTGCGGTTTGTGCCTGAACAACAAGATATTTGGCTATCTTTATCAACGTACAGTGCAGTCTTGTTGATATCTGCCTAATCTGGGATTTCTATTTATTATAATCAGGTTACTCTGGAGAAACTGACAAGTGCACTAGGATACATTCCATGGGTACCACCACCAGGTTCTTCAAATGATACATCCCTTTTCCTCATGTTAACCTCAGACTGGAATTCAATATCTATTCAGTTTAGATTTATTCCAAAGTGAAGCCTGACAAATGTACAGTTCCTAACCCTACCCGATCAAGGCAGTGTCTATAAACAGCTCTGTGTGCTCAAATAGAGAATGTCCTCCAACTATTTAAACTTGCCCATATCTTTTACAATTAGTATCCCAAATACCACACTTGTAAGCATTTCCCAAATGCAAGTTAACATACAAGAACCAAAGCTACAATTAGTCAAAATGGGAGACTAAAGCAGAAAAAAAAGTGTTGTTTATTTTTGAATGGTTTTCACAGCAATCTGCAATGTATGGCCTAATTAACTTCATAAAAATCTACATAGAATTTACAACATAGAAACAGGCCATTCAAGTCAGCTATCCCACATAATTATTTAAGTTCCACATCCCTTTCTCATTTTCTATTATTATTTAGCTTCCCTTTAAATATTATCAAAGTTATTATCTCCACCTGGTAGCAAGTTTCACAGTCTAATCAATCCATGGATGAAAAAGGTTTCTCTAGAATTGTTTATTGAATCTAACGGATATTTATAAGTGGTTCTGGATTACCCCCAGAAGTGGTATCATCTACTTTATGTCTATCCTATTAAACCCCTTCATAGTTTCAAAGGAATATCTTAGTTTCATGCTACAAATCAGCCTTCTCTTTGTTAGAGAAAAGGGCTTGAGACTGCTCTGTTAGTTAAAAAATATACCTCAGTTCTGGTATCATTGTTATAATTTTTTTGGACTTTTCTGTAACTCTGAGTTTAAATAGTAATATTTACTCCTTCTGATGTTAATACTGCCTGCAATCAGTAACAGATTAACTGAATCAAGGATTAAAATACGTAGAATAGGAATAAGGTTACTTGTCCAATGTTTTTGGTGCTTTACAGCAATAGGTTAGCTATAACTAAACAATGTCCCATAATTAATATGTAATTGAAAATCCTTTAGGTTTAATATTGCATCCGTTTTATCACTTCATTAAAGGAACATACCTGGATTCTTTAGTCTGTAGTGATTCAGCAGAACTAATGCCTCAAAAGCATCACTCTTCAACTCATATTCCAGAAGGCCAGAAGAACTCTTCTCACCTAAAAAATGAGATTGTGGGAAAGTTAGCAGTGTTATTTGTCTGTGAATGGTCAGATATGAAATTTACTCCTGGCATTTATTGGGAGAGAAAATGAATCGTGTTAAAAAAAGCTCCCAAATAGAAACCTCCTGATTTTAAAATCAATCTTAATGATCTAATCAGTCATCGAGCATCACACCCAATGTCCCCCTTGCATGATGCACCAAAACAGCTCATTGCTAGCCTTTATTTAAGTGACAACTCTGAAATATCACAAACAAAAAAAAAATGTTGGATAAAGGCAGGTCTGTGGAGGGAAACACATTTAATGCTGAGTTCAACACGACTCTGCTACAGAACTGAAAGGGGCTGGAAAATTACACGTTTTAAGCTGTCAGAGGAGCGAGTAGAATAGATCATGACAGAAGGAATGTTAAAGATGATAAAATGGAGAATAAAATGTAACGGAGGCCACATTGTGAGCAAATACAGCAAACTGGATTCAAAGGAGGTATCATATCACTGCTTCATCTGTAGCACAACTTCGGGACTTGGACAGTAAGTAGAAAGACAACTGGGCGGTTGCATGGAAACTAACAACAACAGGTGGAAAATGAGGTGTTGTTCTGCCAGCTTGCATTGAGGTTCACTGGAACACTGCAGCAAACCAGAGACAGATGTTGGCCAGGGAACAGGGTAGTGCGTTAAAGTGGCAGGCAAGAGGTAGTTCAGAGTCTTTTTGCCTGCCACTTTAATGCACCACCCTGCTCCCTGGTCAACATCTCTGTCTCTGGCTTGTGCAATGTTCCAGCGAACAACACCTCATTTTCCACTTGGGGACCCTGCAGCCCTCTGGACTCAACACGGAGTTCAATCATTTTAGGGCCTAAACTCTCCTGTGTCTCAGCCCCCTAGCCCACACACCAGGCCTTGTTACCACATAACCTGCCATGTTGTTAGTTACTAATCATCCCCATTAACAACTATTCACCCTCCCAGCCTGATCATTATCAACTCTTTGTCTATCCAACTGCTCTTCTCTCTCAAGGCTCTATCCCATCGTTTAGTCCCTACCCCAAACCCCACCTTGTTTTTTTCTGCATATAAACTGACGTTTATCAGTTCTGACGACAGGTCACTGGACCCAAAATGTTAACTTTTTTCCCCCCTTCACAGATGCTGCCAGACTTGCTGAGCTTTTCCAGCAACTTTGTTTTTGTTCCCGATTCACAGTATCTGCAGTTCTTTTGGCTTTTCCCAGTATTTCCTGCTTTTATTTCAGATTTCCACTATCTGCAGTACTTATCTTACACTCAAATATTACAACTGATTTACGGTGAAACAATTTTGAACTTCAGGGTTAGGGTTTGACTGTGCTGGAATTTCGCCCTGCACTTCCAATAGATCATCCTCGAAAATCTCCACCACAATTTGATTTATTATTGTCACATATACAATGAAAAATACTGTTTTGTGTGCTGTCCAGAGAAATCATACCTTACACAAGTACATCAAGGTAATAGAACAAAATATAGAATATGGTGTTACAGCTACAGAGAGGGTGCAGAGAAAGATCAATTCTAATACATGCAGTCCAATCATAAGTCTAATAACAGCAGGGAAATAGCTGTTCTTGATTCTGTTGGTATGTGTTTTCAAACTGTTGTATCTTCTGCCCAATGGAAAAGGGTGGAAGAGTGTGTAATTGGACTGGAAGGGGTATTTGATTATCTGCTTTCCCAGGAAGTCACAAACAGACCTTCCATTCCACTTTCAATAATGCAGCAGGGCAGTTCACTTCGTGAAATACTAGCTGGCTCTCATGGATATAGAAAAAAGTAGACATTCATGTGTTCCATAATTCAGCATGATCATGGTGGATCTGATCATCCTGATCTCCACTTTCCTGCCTTATCCCTGCAACTCTCAGTTCCCTGACTGGCTATCTCAGCCTTGAATATACTTAACTCCTCAGTCTTGACATCTCTTTGTGGTACAGAATTCTGCAGACACTAAGCGCAAGGGAAAATAAAATCATCATTGTCCTCAAATTGGTGGCACCTTATTCTGAAATTACAGTCTCTGGTCCTAGTTTCTCCAATAAGGAGAATCTTGTATGTTTCAATAAATTCTCATTCTTCTAAACCCCATGAGTACTTGGCACAAGAAAACCCATACCCAGAATCGATCTAGCGAACATTCTTTTGGCTACCTCCAATGGCAGGACATCCTCCCTTAGATAAGGGGGCCAAAACTGTTCAGTATTTGAAATGTGGTCTCTCCCATAGCTCATTGCCCTGTCATACAAGACGTGCAACAACTGCCTTTTCATCTCCTTCCTTTGCAAAATCTAATGGCTCAAAAATTCCATGCAAGTGCAATGAGTTATTTGCACTTTGAACTTGGCATACTGCCCATGTACACCTTGCACTGCCTATAGATGTGGACTTTTCTACGCTGCTGAAGTATAAAACAGAATTCCAATTCTTTACCCAATTTCAGGTCAGTCTCTGCTATGTTTCGAATGATGCTTAATGGAAGTTAGAGCACCTATCTTTGTGCTAGATTTTTTAAAATCATTAAAGATTAACATCACAGCTAATAACTTTAGATCCCAATTTGCTTCTACAATTTTCTTACTGCTAATGATTACTGCAGGAGTACTATTAGGAATGTAGGTAGTTTGGGCTGGTGTTAGGCTTAATGGCCAGTGAGATGGTTTGCACCCTTGAAGTTTACCCACATTTCTCCAGCATGTCTTAGGTCATAGAAGCCTTTAGTCTTTGCAAGCTTCGAGCTTTCCAGTGGTGCTAAAACCACTTACACTACCTCCACCCATCACCCCAACCTGCCTAGACCAGTCATGTTCCTCTATCAATCATTCCTACCCCCCAGTCTATCACAGGTTTCTTCTTTCCCCTCGCACACCATGTTCAAAAATTTTTTAATCAATACCATTCAAAAGTTCTGGCAAAAGGTTATCAACTTGAAATGTTATCACTTCTCATTCTAAAGCAGGTGCCTGATCTGAACTTTCCAGCACCTTTCGGTTTTAGTACAATAAAACATGAATGCCATTCTGGTCCAAACTAAAACGTTCTCCCTTATTGTACCACTTACAATGCAGTATTGTAAAACCATCTCAAACAGATGGAAGTGTAGCATTTGGGAACATAATCCAGATTCCGAGCATCAAGACCAGCATTACCGTGAGGTACCTTAGCAACTACTACTTTAATTGTGCCAATTACTTTTTTACTTCTTCAGCCAATCTTCCTTTGTGTTCAAATAAGTGTATCTCACGACACAGGTAGTGGGTTAAGTGGACTCAGGTGATAGATATGTTAAACAGATGCTTTTAACCTTAGGTTTTGGGACATTTGCGCTGCTATGGTAACGTCCCTACCCCCAAACCGCAACACCTGGGCTCAAGTCCCACCCGCTCAAGAGATGCGTAATAACATCTCTGACCATGTTGTTTAGGAAACTAGTTTAACCTTAGGTGTCTGGTGGCCCTCTTGTGGCGCAGAGAGGCCTGCGTTCAAGTCCCACCTGCACCAGCTGTATAATAACATCTCTGAACAGGGTGATTAGAAAAACAGGTTTTAAAAAAGAACAAACCTCAGATGTAGATAACACAGTGTGGAGCTGGAGGAACACAGCAGGTCAGGCAGTGTCAGAGGTGCAGGAAAGTTGACGTTTCGGGTCAGGACCCTTCCTCAGAAATGAGGGGACCTGACCTGAAACGTCAACTTTCCTGCTCCTCTGACGCTGCCTGACCTGCTGTATTCCTCCAGCTCCACACTGTTATCTCCAACTCCAGCATCTGCAGTTCTTACTATCTTGGAGTGAGTTAAAACCTCAGATGCAGGAGCTCTTGTGGTGCAGCAGTAGTGCCCTTTACCCCTGGACCAGGAGGCCTAGGTTCAAGACCCACCTGCTCCAGAGGTGTGTAATAACATCTATGACCAGGTTGATTAAAACTTAGCCTTGGGGTGGCCTGAGGAAGTTAGAAATTAAGGCATGATTCTTAATGAATTATTCTGGACAGCATTTATGTGGACATTAGAGGAAAGAATGCAGTGCTGAAGTAATGACCTCAATATTCAAAAAGATTTGTCATGCCTATCATACACCTAATGTTCCAGATCTGGCTGTCAGGAAATGGCTGGCAGTGCCAGGTGACTTCATTTTATGTCTCAGTCTGTCCAGGAACCAAATGTGCCTGGGAGCTTTTGAAAAAACACAGATGGATTTCTTAAGTACAAACTGAGTACATTTGTAGCTTGGGTTGTGGATGAGGTTGTAGACTTGCTCACCGAGCCAGCGTGTTTGGTTTCAGACATCGTCACCCTAGCAGGGTGACAAAACATCTGCAACCAAACACACTGGCTCGGCGAGCAAGTTTACAACCTAAACAGAGTACCTTTGGTACTCAATGGAAAATAGATTCATCAAAAAATGGCTGCTAGGCTCAGCGGGCATTGAGGATGAACCATCAAAAAGCTTTCCAGTGAGCAGATAGTTACTAATATGATCAATTATCAATCATTCTTCCATTGTAAATCAATCACCCTGGCTCCAATCCATTATAAAGGACAATGGAATTCACTGAACTATGTTTTAAAAGAGTGAAGGAAAGTCAAACGTTCATTAAATGTACAAGAGAACCTTGCAAAGCTGTCTGGAATTCAGCAATAGGAAGAAAAGGCCTATTCCTCCAGCAAAAGGAACAGAATGCAGTCATTCGGAAAGGGAGAGACTTGGGCTAATGAACCAAGTCTCATCAAGAGATACAACTCTACAAAAATCTGGTCAAAACTTGTGGCTGGAAAACGAAGGCAACTCCAACCGTCCTTCATCCAAAGAGCCACAAAAGAGAATCCATTCAGTTTAGCAACAATGCATTTTAAAGAGACTGAAATTTGAACATTTATTACTACTAATTCCACAAATAGCCTACTCATATCTTGTCCCTAGAATCCATCTTGTGTGTCTGGTGCCCAAGGGAGTGACTGGGCTTCATTGTGTTTACATCTCAGAGTCATGTGTAAATAAGTTTTTTTTTTCTGATTTAAACTCAACCCAAAAACGTGTTTATATCTGAAAGTCATCACATTCAAAGATTTAAAACACTCCCTCTGGAACATATCTTATTGTGAATAACAAAGGGGAGGGGAGAAACTGAATAAGTTCTCCACTATCTGGTTTGCCTATCTGTAACTAGACCGCTAGTGTCAGATACACAGACTGAACTATCAATGCATTTAAGAAAAGAATAATATTTTTAAAAGAGAGAATTAAATGTGATCTGTTGTTAGGTTATGCCAACATGCTCCAAATCAGAACCAGTCAGCCATGAGAGTCTGGTTCTAAACAAGCTCAAACTCAATGTAGCTACCAGACAGTAGTTGGAGACATGCCAAACTGACTTTCTGATAGAAAAACTTTAAATTCCTGTGCTTGAGATGTCAGTTTGGCTCATGACTTTTTTCATTTTGTGTAATCGTCTGATTTGACATGCACTTTCACTATTTAAATAAAGCTCACCCTGCCATTGCTACTGTGGCTTATTCATTAAATTGCATACAGCTGGTCTGAGAGAAATTATCTGATTTCAGCTGGGATCAAGGCAAGGCTGAAAGATGATGTACCTAAATAAACCTGCTACTGTTCCCCATCCCACATTACTACCTGGGGAATACTGATGGAAAAAAAGTGTGCAGTTGGGGCAACATTGGGTTAGAGTGCCACGGTTGAATAGCATGCTAAAAAATTAATATTGAGATGAGATTCAGGTAAAATAAAGAATCAGGATACAATCATGCAATCACAAGGAAGGCAGGAGCTGCAAGTAGTTCACCTTGATCCCAATTTGCCAATGGCGTTGCTAGAATAACAAAATCGAAAGCAGGACACATTCATTGAAAATGGTATACCCGTGCAATTGGTTTCAACCCACACCTATGACACCAGGAGCACCAAATGACTAGACTGAGACAAAGGCAGTCCAAACACATGCGGGAAACATTTCTGCCAAAGCATACGAAGGTGACAAAAAGCAGATTAACAAGGAAAGTAAAGTGGTGCCCAAAAGAATAGACACCAATATCAAAAGTGAAAAATCTACCCTGCAATAATTAGCAGGCTTGGTTTCCTTCTCTAAACCTAAAATTCCAGAGTTATCAACTTAACACAGCCAGATTACAATTAATAAACAAAACAATGGATAGCTTTCAAGAGATGAGTCAGCAGAGCTCCTCTTTCTCCAATCATGATCACTATCTTTCACGAGTGATTGAGCCAATTTTTTTATTTATTCATTCACTTGTAGGATGTGAGCATCGCTGGCTGGCCAGAGTTTATTACCCATTCCTAGTTGCCCTTGAGAAGGTGCTGGTGAGCTGCCTTCCTGAACTGCAGCAGTCCAGGTGTTGTACATTGACCCACAATGCCTTTAAAGGAGGGAATTCCAGGATTTTGACCCAACGACAATGAACAAACAGTAACATACTTCCCGGTCAGAATGGTGAGTGGCTTGGAGGGGAACTTTCGGGGGGTGGTGTTGCCACATATCTACTGCCCTCTTCTAGATAGAAGTGATCATAGGCTTGGATGGAGATGTCCAAGGATCTTTGGTGAATTTCTACAGTGCAACTTGTAAATAGTATGCACTGCTGCTACTGAGCACCAGTGGTGGAGGGAATGGATATGGTGCCAATCATGAGAACTTGCAGTAAATTAAAGCTGATTTTGTTTCCACTTTTGGCCAAGACTGAATGGCAATGTTAATTTTTTTTTGCAATGAATATCAAACCTATGTTAAGTCCACATAGCTCAAACCAACATATGAATCAACATCAACCTTGCAGCCATTAGCTGCTGCAATACAATTAATTTTAACTAAATCTTTAACATGTACAATAGCCACTAATTAATTTTGGAGAAGGGAGCTAGTATCATGAAACAAAGCTACTAATTTTTAAATCTTCATCAAGCACAGAAATCCCAGCTTGTCAATAACAATTAGCTCCTTGAAGCATCAAGAAGGGAAAGGTCATTGACTGCTTCAACCTTTTTGTTTTGAACAGTGTTCAAGTACTGATTCTCAACACATGGCTCTCAATTTCCCCCACTCCCACATTAAACACAATATAAAGGCAGCTATTAAAAACACCCAGAAGGCCCTGATAAACATTCCTGCCAGAAAAAAAAGTCAGTAGCAACCAAATGCTGGAAAGATTTTCCATTATTGCCAGTTGTATCAAAGCAAAATAGAAAAAAGTAGGTTAGTGAAATTTCAAACTTATACAAGAACAAAGTTGCCTTAAGAATGGGTAATCTGGTTATGCCTCCCACAGATTCTACCAAAACAAAAGACAGACTGTAAACAAATGTGAATATACAGAGGTGGAAACCAGAGTGCCCTTTATATTAAAGGTCATTGAGAATCACCTTGACCTTGCATTTATTAAATATATTGGCTGCTCAAACCTAAAGTAGGCAGAGCCATTTAAATAATACAATTACTGACTCACCACTTCAAAGCATGTTACTTTCCTGATCGTAACCCCTATCCTAAGTGAAGTGGCACTAGGCACATTCACAGCTGATTGAGCCCAGTTTTCCATTTTAAAAACGTGACCCCTACTCCCAAAGCCAATCCTTGGAGATAGCAGTAGGTCATTTAAAATTCCACCCATTATCTGCCAGTGAAGTACAGCTTGCATTACAATTCAGTGTATTAGACTCCAATGTGAAAAACTGACAAATTTTTTATTACAGATAAAGATAGATAAATAGATAGATAAACTCCTTCTTGCACATAACTAACCTGAAATCTTAAGAACCATTACTTAAAGCTGCATTTGTATAGCTAATTGGTCAGCAACACCAATTTTATGATGTATTCTAAACATCATTCACCCAGATCTGTGTAAATGCTGAGATACATACACTCCTCCCTAACCTGACAGGAAACTGCTCTCACACCAGCCTTCCAGCATCACGACTCGTATGGTTCACAATTAGTAATTTTTTTTTAATTAAAACTCTGAGCTAATGGGATTAAAGTTATATGATCAGCTGTCACCTGAACTCATCACAACTGCATGACAAGTAAATACTACATTCTCAAGTTCCACTGAAGGAAAACAGACAGTAATTAATGAAGACATCTGAAGTTGGCTCCTACCTTGGTTTCCTTTTGATCCAGCTGGAGCAGGTTGCAAAATGCCAAAGATCATAAAAAAAAGCACAAAATTAAACAAGTTTCCCTGCATGCATACAGTTATTAACTTAAATTCTCAAAAATTTCAGATATCTACTCAATTACAAAGTCAGAGTATCCCTTCCTTCAGGTTAAAGTAACATATTGGAAAATATTAGTTTACAGTATTAGTTTTGTAATAATAGCCAATATTTCGCAAACAGCAAGTATACTATTGCATGAAGTATCCCAGTCAGACCAGTCAAAAAGATAGCAAGACACCTCATAAGTAACACAACACTGCTTATGAGTACAATGCTGCTAACAGCTTTTGCAGCTACTTGGTACCCTCCAGAAAAATGTTACAACAATACTTCTACATTCATCAAAAAAATATTCTCTCAGAATAGACAAATTAGAACAGAATGAAGTAGTGAAAATTTCATACAACCACCATTATCCCTCACATTTTGAAATCAGAACGACAACGGAACTATAAAATTAATATTAGTTGCAAAGGGTCACTTACTTTTTCCACTGAAAAATATAATACTTTTAGGCCTCTTCACATTAGCTTTGTCAGATATCTGGAAGTAAAGTGAAAATTTACCAACCTGATCTATGCCCAGACATCAAAGTTGTCAAGATGTATCAAATAATTAAATGCAGAGCAAAATAAAATCAGTTTAGTATGCTCATCTATTCAGTTGAGTTATCACTTGCTAAATACTAACCACCCTTGCATTTCAACCACTCTCCTGGAGCTTACTCTCCATTTTAGGATGCAAGAGAGGAAAAGATAGATTGACTTTTAACAGTTAGGATTTCAGAGGTGGTAACTGAAGTTTCACAAATTATAAATTTAAAAGTCAGGATATCAAGGAAGATAAAAACTCAGAGGTCATGAGGACGAGAGTCTACAATGTGGTTCTATGAAATCTCAGCTTCAAGTCAAACAGGCCAGAAATTCTGCTGAAATCTATCTTCTGCTTGTCTGCATGTTGACCACCACGCAAAAAAATCTTCAGGGTATTAAAAGGCATTAAAATGCAATTGGGGCCTATCTTCCTATGTTAAGAGTTACACAAAGTCTTGGAACTAAAGACAATTTTGTTAATTAACTTAAGCAAAAAATCTGTCACTCGGCTTTAAATACCAAATCAAAGCATGATTACACTGAAAAATCATTCTTAAAGACACATTTTCTGATGACAGCTATTTTATCAGTCAGTAAGTACATCAATATACAAAGCACAACAGTAGGGAAACTACAGTTGTGAATATTTATGGTTTACAAGAGGGTTGTGAATGCTCAGTCGTCAATGCTGAGGATGACAACATGTGATTTCATTGAAATTACAGACAGGATAGATTCTGAAAAGATGTTTTTCCTGGCTGGGGATGTTTGCAGCCAGCAGACAAGAGTCTCAGAATATGGGACAACCCATTTAGGATTAATTTAGGGAAAAATGTCTTCAGAGGGTTCTGAATCTTTGCAATTTTCACTTCTTTACCCCAGAGAGTTGTGGAAGTTCAGGTCACTGAATATGTTAAGGATAGAAATCAAGGGATATGGGATTAGCACAGGAAATGGCATTGAGATAGCTGATCAGGTTTAATATTGAATGGTGGATCAGGTTCAAGGGACAGAAGGGCCTGTTCCTTATCCTAAATTCCTAGAACTGGATAGGGGAGTTGATTGAAACATCAGTCAAGATCTTATTGAGTAACAGAGCAGGTTTGAGAGCAGTGTGGTCTACTCAACATCTATTTTAAGCGATCTTAAACCTTCAGAGGTACAACAGTTCAGTTCACTTTTACACCACAGCAGGAGCAGAGGACTTTCAATCCTGTGCTGCCTCGTTTCAGCAGATTTGAGAACAAGATATTGCTCAGTGGACACCTGCTACCACCACAGAAGAACAAAGATATATTAAATACAAACCTGCTGGAATATTTCTTCTGTAACAGATGGAGGAGCACTAAAGAAGTGTAGCATGTTGTTAGGTTTCTGGATTCGATTTTTGGCAGCTTGTTTCAGATTTGTGAACCGGTTGTTTCGATTAGTTGAGTAATCCTTGAAGCTACAAGAGCCATCCTCTAACTCAAATGACTGGCCAGGAACTATTACCTTCTGTTTTGACACACTGTGGAGACATGGGAAAACACATTTCAGCAACATAGCCGAAACATCAACCAAAATTACTGGATCCAAGCTCCCTGGCATCAGTTTTCTTACCATACATTTATATGCTGGCCAAACAGAAAATTCTCAGTGTTCAGGCATGTTAGGGCTCGGTCTACTGCAAATCCATCGCTCATTTCTACCATGGCGGCTCCAGGTTTGCTTTTTAAGAATTTAACCTACAAGACAGATTTATACACAACCATGAGTGGTCACATTCCTGTTTTTTTTTGGCTGTTTTGTATTGCCTATCCAGTAAGTGCATCACACTTAAATATCGCCACGTAGCTGTGTTGGTGCAGTATCACTTGGGGGGGAGGGGGCATAATTTACAGTAGTCTTCTGAAAATATAGACTGAAATGTTACTGAAATCCAACAGAAATGGCAGCACGATTTCAAAATTTCAAAGCTTCAAAACAACTAAACAGTGAAAATGGGTCCACAACAACAATTCATATTCTTCAAAAAAATGCATCAAGACATACCTTATGCACATTGCCATAAAGACAGAAGATATTGAACACCTTGTCTGGGTTCATTCTCTTAGTATCTAGCCCATAAACAATCAGCACTGGGCTATCAGCCAGAGGACCATAATCGGCATGTGGCGGAGGTGGAGGTGGTGGTGCTGCACCACCATATTGAGCTGAGTACCGCCGTGAAGGTGGACCCCTACGAGGACCTCCCACTGATGGTGGTGGTGGTGGAGGACCCATTCCCCTGCCTTCGTAGTGATGCGGTGGAGCATAGTCATCATCATCCTCATCATCATAATAGCCATGGTATGTTGAAGGAGGGTAGCCATGACCTGTTTAAATCGGAACAAGAGCGTGGTCAGAAGCAAGCAAAAGAAAAGCACAAATTTAAAACAAAATCCAAGCTGGTCCTCTCCCTTTAGAGAGATATTTTGAAACCACATGGTTACTAATATGAATCAGTGGCAGAATCTGCACCTTAATCAGGTAGTCGTGGCTTCAAGCCCCAATCCTGGCATTGATTACACAAGTGCTAACACCAGGCACGTACATACAAAATTAAGCAGAAGTTGGCCATTTGATCCTTCAAATCTACTGCACCATTCAAGATGACTGTGGGTCATCTGTTTCGTGCTCCAAACTCCACATTCCCATCTACCACAATAACCTTTGACTTCCCTAACAAAAATCTATTCACATCTGTCTCAAAGATAATCAATGACCCCACCTCCACCGCCTTCTGAAGCATACAGTTTCAAAATCACACAACCCAAGAGAAAAGAAATTCCTCTCATCTGTGCCCAAAAGAAGTCAACCCCTAATTTTAAAAGAGAGCATTTCCAACTTCTGCACTCACTCACAGAGGAAACATCCTTTTCACATCCATCCGGTCAAGACAATTCATGAATTTATACACTTCAATCAAATCATTCTTTGTCTTCTAAATTCCAGTGAAAACAAGTCCATCCTGACCAATCTTTCCTTACACACAACCCACTAATTTCAGGCAATCTGTTGAACCTCCTCTGAATCACCAACATATTTCCTGAAATAAAGACAAAATTGCACAGTATTTGAAGTGTGGTCTGACCAATGGCTTGTATAACTCAAGCATAAAATCCTTACTTTTATGTTCAATTTCTCTCATATTAAGGAACTGCATTCCATTAACCTCTTAATTACTTGCTTTAACTGCAAACTAAGTTTCTGTGACTTATGCACTAGTATACTTGGATCTTTCTGCACCTCAGAATTCTGCAATCATTCTCCATTCAAGTAATATTCTGCTGTTTAATTCTTCTTGCTAAAATGAAACACTTCATATTTTCTCACATTATACCCTATGTGCAGTTTTTATCCACTCAACCTACCTAAATACTCCTTTGTCATATAATCTTCACTACACACTTTCTTTTGTGCCTTGTGTAAATTTAGCCACCATGTCCCCTCATCTAAGTCATTATTATATATTGTAAAATGTTGACAGAACAGCACTGACTCCTGCCAGACCCCGCTTACCACATCTTGCCAATCTGTAAAACAGCCATTAACGTAAACCCTGTTTTCTGCCCACCAGCCAGCCAATCCCTAGCCATGCTGGTATATTGTTCTCTACACCAGAAGCTCCTATTGTGCACAACAACAGCAAGCATGCACTACAGCAATCTAAATAGGGAATCACAAGCTAAAAGATTATTATAATTACACAACAAACATTGGGTTGTTTTTAGAAGGAACACGAGGAGGATATTTGGCCCCAAAAACCCACTCTGCCATTCAATGTGATCACGGCTGTTGCTCTCAATACTGTACTCTCACTCTATCATACTCCTTGACACATTTAGCCTCCAGAAATTACTTTTATTAAATATATTCAGTGGCTTAGCCTCCACAGAGAATTTCACAGGTTCTCAAAACACTTTGTATCATTGTCAAGTGTAGGTAGACTTGACAACTTCACAGCATGAAATCTGGCAAACACACCCACCTGACAAACACTAACTGGGGAAGCTGCAGCAGGGACTAATTTAGATACCTATTAATTCTTAGGCACATAGAAGGGGGAAAAAAAAAAAACTTACACTACAGTAGATAATTCATTTTTCAAAAAAAAAATTTATTAAATCTATTAAAAAGACACATTCTGGGATTGCAAGGCAGTACTGACAAAAAAAAAATCATAGAATCCCTATAGTGCAGAAGCAGGCCATTCAGCCCATCAAGTCCTCACCAAGCCTCCAAAGATTATCGCACCCAGACCCACTCCCACTAACCCTAACCCTGTAACCTTGCACTTCATATGGCTAACCTACCCATTCCTGGACACTACAGGAAAATTTAGCATGGCCAATCTACCTAGAGTGCACATCTTTGGACTAAGGGAGGAAATGGGAGCACCCGGAGGACACCTATACAGGCACAAAGGTGGAACTGAACCCAGGTCCCTGGGGCTGAGGCAGCAGTGCTAACCACTGAGCCATCACGCCACCCAATATTCAAAATAGGGTACATCAATTGGGGACAATGAATTCATCTACATTTGTCTTGGTTTGCTTTTACAGGCGGATTAAGTCCAAAATGATGTCAGTTTTTGATCACCTTTCTTATAATAGCCCCGCAATTTCTTCAATTACGCATCAATCCCTGCTTTGTGTTGAAATAGTATATTTCAGGTCCAACCACCACACCCATATAATTGAAACTGGCCCACCGTACAGCACCAGCAGTTTCCTGCATCAGACCAGATAACACCCAGGGAGCTAAAAGTGGAAAATAACAAACTAATTTTTAAATTCTATTCAGACACACAGATAATCTAGAAAACAATTGTGGAATTTGAGATTGCTAAGAGAAGTTGGGAGTTTTATAATACATAGGCGTAAAAGATTTTAAGTTGAACTTAGCTGTCGACATAACACATGGTAAGGCTATATACAAGACTTCACCCAGTGAGGTTAGCAAGTCTACCCACACTTGACTGCTACAAACTAGCATATTCACAAACCCACCTGCTATAGCAACATTCAATTTGGGCAAGAAATGATTCAAGAATTTGACATATTGTGACCTTATTAAAAGCAAACAGATTTATTCCTGTCCCCTTGAGCAAAGAAAATAATTGCAATGACTGTCTAAAAATTAAGCTTCTGCCCCTGACACTAAAGCCGAACACTGGACATATTCCCCTTTTTAAATTTGAGTAGAGGAGAGACTGAACGAACACACTACATTAAAAGTGGAGATAGTGAGGATATTTTTCACACATCTTTACTCACCAAAGTTAGATGGAGCATCACCAAGCAAGGCAGGCAATCTAGTGCGCTTGTTTGAAGGCTCTGCAATAGAAATAGAACAAATCTAACAACAAATCACATCTAGCATGAATAAAATATTAACAATTGTTATACACAAGGTCTCAGTTTCAGAACTATTTTAAGTAGAATTGCCCAAGCATGTAATACTAAACAGACTTAACAGAAGTCAATTTTAAAAAGTATAATCAAAAAGACCATAGTTTGCACAAAGGAAGACAAAACTAATACATAAATGAGTCTACTTACAGCAGTGCTAGGGCACAAGGTCCAAGTGAACATTATCTTACCACTTATGCCTCAACAGCAACAAATGGCAGTTTGAAAGATGGTTCTCCATCAAACATACGGTTGCAAGCAGATTCGACACAGGCTTGAAACTTCAATCCTGCATCATACATTTTACAGTAAATGAACACCATAGAAGTACAAGATTACAATTAGAAAGAACTGTCTACACATCATATTTCTTTATTTGCACTTTAAAAAGCTTACAGCACACAGATGAAGTTACAGAAGAAATGCATTTTAACACTGAAAGACTGCAGGTCAGAGTGTGTGAGAAATGACTTAAGAAAAACTGTTCTTCTGTGTTTGAGCCCTCAAGGATTCCCAATTGTTGTTGGTTCATTTGAAAACGTGTGTTCATTTTTCGCACTGATTTCCATTGTACACGAAGTGAGCAGGGTCTACATATTTCCTTTTAGGCTAACTGGTGATGATAGCTTATGCAAATGCAAGTATTGCTACACAGTAGGTAGAAGATGCTGTGGGCCATGTTTCAGATCAGGTCCCAGACCAGAAAGTGTAATAGAATTGGAAACTTGATTCATATTTTATCATTCTATACATTCATGTATCTGGGTTGCTAGTTAACTAAATTTTATTTCGTACATCATAAAAGGGTCCAACAGTTTTCACTTTACAATGTTTAAACTTGGTCAGTGACCATATCTGAAATAAACCCAAATTCAAGTTCAGCCAAACCAAAACTGCAAAGTCAGTGCTCTGGGAAGCTTTCAAATGGATGAGCTGATTCTAAAGGGTTGATGCCATCTATACACTGTCTATTTTAGCTAGGAAAGCACCAAATGGTCTGAAATGTGGGCTTCAATATCTGTTGGGAGCAGGAAGAATATCAGTCAAGAGTTATGCTCACAGTTTTCTTCCCTACAACCTTTTCTTCACATGAAGATAAGCTAGGCATGGACAAAATGAGGCTCTGCTACAACATCCATGCAGATGAGTCACCTGCTGGCTTTCACAGGGGCCTTGATTCTGGCAGGCAAATAGCAACTTGGCAAGATACAGATATTATACCTCAGGCTAATACAGAAGCGAGAAACAGAAAAGCAGAAAGATAAACATTACATCCAAGCATTTCCCTCCTAATTTTTTTATAGTGATAAGCAACAAAGGGACTTGGTCATGTTTCTACAGATGAACCATTGCCCCCACATTCCAAATACCTTGTTTAAATAGGATGTAAAATGTTGAAGTGACAAATCAATCATATTAACAGACCAACAGTCCCATGGGGGCATGTTTTTAAAATTGATTTAGTATTTCTACAGATTGGTCTTGACTCTTTTGCTCCTAATAATCTCTGGATGGCTATAGGCATCACGAAGTTTACATAGTAAGCTTATGTTCTCCATTACATGGTGGTGTTCGGCAACACACCATAACTGTCAAAAGAGTTCTATAATGAAGGCCCACTTGCCCTGAACTGTGACTGAACCATGGTATTCAGCTCATCCATTTCATGGCCACTGCTTACATTGGTCTTTGTAGTTTAAAAGAATTTAAGAATTGCTGTAAATTAACATTTTAAAATCGAAGCTTCTCATCTTGAACTGAAGACAATTCGCAAGAAATACTGAAGTAAAGGGAAAACAATCTGTACTCCATACATTATGAATGTTTTACTTTTACTTTGGAATTTCCTGCAAAAATGTCTTTTTTCAACAATACTCAATTCTGCAAACATCTTTTTAAAATAATTTATGTAATGTATTTTTAACAACTCGAATCAGAAAGTATTCGGGGCGAAATTTGGAATTACAAACGGATAGTTAAGCACTGTTCATTGGCTTACAATTTCAGAATAGGGCCAAATAACCTCCATTTGCACTGAAACATCTTGGAAATTTAGTGAAAAAGAACTCTGATTAGTTGACACATTACATATGCAGATTCCCGATGCAATTTCATGAAATATTCTTCTCCTCAGTTTGGTCTGGCAGTGAACTTGAAAACTACATGGGCCCTGAATGCCCCGAGAATTAATCGCAGGGAGATCAAGGTCTTGTTTATATACAAGAACAACTAAATATGTGCAGAAAGAGAAAAATCCAGGATTGAGAGGGAAAGATTCACCCCTGCATATATCTGACCATGATATAAATGAATCATGATGATTGAATTTATATAAGCCAAGGAAGCTTCTGATATAATGAATATCTTGCAAAGCATTTAGGACTCAAGATAACAGTCATCATTCGAGGCATGTATAGACAGACAGAACTGCAATGTAAAACCCACGAGCGATACGGTGAAACAGAGAAATGTATTTATTTCTATGGGACCTTGTCACCTTGTTTCTCTTATGCAACGTTATCTTGAGATGCACAATATGCAGGCAGATGGAAGTTCTTTGAAGCTGCAGTACATTTGGTTTGCTGAAATTGTGTCTAAATAGGAAGGTGAAAGTCTTTATAAAACGTACTGCATTTCTAAAGAGCATAGATTCAGAAAGGTTAATTTTGAGGCAGCCTTGCATCAGCCATATTAAAAAAAGTCACCATTATTCTTTATAAAGATGAGGTTTCTCAAAAATGATTACACACTGCTCCCTATTTTTCCCTGCAAAGCAAAACCTCTCACCAAACGTGACTAAAATCAACTTGTCCTTCACTCTGCTACTCCCCACTCTCCCAATGCCCTGAGGGTGGCTTACATGGGATCGCTAAGTTCGCTCAGTTAAGTCAAGCAAGACTATCACAGCAACTCTGCACCACTGGCATCAATGACGATC